TAATAACTCTAATAAATCCTTCATGGTATTGTAAAGTGAAAAAAAGACTGATTTTACTTCCGTCTATGTGGAGTTACTTCATTAGTGAGTAAAACACATCCGTTTTATTTTCCTTGGCTGTAACTTCCCGTCTAAGGTTTTCTGTGTCCATTTTTTAATTGAAGATTTACTGGCCTGACAGGTAACACGGACAGAGAACGTCCACACACACACCCTGTGGGAATATTTACATGTTTTTGTACGCAGGGCAGTACATGCCCCACAGTATTTAACTACTACTACTGTTACTGTATCAATTTCAGCTTTTCTGCTTTATAATACATCTTAGGGACATTATTGACCAATACAGTGCCTCCCCTCCGCTCTCCCCCGGTTCCTTGTCTGAGCTCCACTCCTAAAAGCAAACTCTGTTGAATTTACAACCTGGACCAATGGGACGTCCTGCCCAGTGGGGTCTTTGTGGGTTTCCTGGCTGTGCTTTGGATGTGGTTTATGTGTTCTGCCTGCTGCACAAAGCATGCACAGTGGTAGTCATCCTTTCCACTTTATGGCACTTTCTGGAAATCACAGCATCCAAAACAGATGAGTAGATCACATCTCTGTGTAGAAGGGCCTGCACATGGAAAATGAGTTCGACCACTGCTGTTCTCATGGGCTCCGTACCTGCAGGACTGTTGTTGCACTAGCATGTGGAGATCGATTAAAAAAAAAGTCTCATTATAGAAAGAATGACTGAAATGTGCTGGCACTGACACATCTCTGACCAGCCTATTCAACTAGAGGCCCGGGGGCCACATGTTGCCCAGTCACAACATCATAGTGGTCCAGTCTTTGGTGGATTGAGAAAGGCAGAGACAAAGAGAATTGCAATTGTTGAGTAAAGATACATTTCTACTTTAGCACAGACCATGAATGCACCGTGAATGTAGTCTAGAGACAGGCCGCCTGTCCCTATGAAAACAGAAAGGTTTGCTAATGAAAATTATCAGTTTACCTTCTATGACACGACTGGACATTCAACCTAAAAGATCAATGGTTTTCAATTCATTAAATTGTTTAGTTGCCTTTTTTAGCTAAAGAAAATGTAGGGCACAGCTGAGTATTCTCGGTCTGACAATCTGGCCCAATTTATCATTGACTAGCCACGATCCATGACTTACTTTCAAATATAATTGTTAAAGACACCACTACAGAGTCTTTTTAGCTGCGGCTACATTCCTGATAATTGTGGAAACGTCCAGTGCCACAAATATGATTGTTAGATTTATAGGACCACCGTGACTGCAGCCGTTTCCAGCTGAGAAAATGTGACTGCAGATTTCAGAGTTAGCAGGATAGATAGCTAACCAGCGTCTCTCTGTGGTGCATCAGTTTGAGAAGGACTTTGTGGAGTCATTCCACTGCCAGGTACGTGTCGGCGAAAGCTCCTGTTGAATGAAAAAAATGCTGCTTGTCCTTAAATGCTCTGGTGCATTCCTTTAATTTTAACGCTGTGCAATGAAAAGTTAATGACAACAGGATTGGATCCTGGACGTGAACATAGCGATGTATATTGAATTAACTTGGTCTCTGCAGTTTGCTTGTGTAATAGTTATAACGTGAACAGGACATATCAGATGTCCAGAATGATCTGCAGTGTAAATAATAAATTATTTAGTATTTTGTTCATCAGACAGTATCTTCTTTGTTTCTCAGGACCTGGATTCCTATTGGACAAAAAAACAATCCAATGACAAATGTGGGAACATTTGGGTTCCATGTGGTATTTAGTGTTTTTTTTGTTAGTTTTTTTTTACCGAGCTGTTGATGAATTCTGCTGCAGGTGTGTAAACGACCACATTCATTATTGAACAATTATCCAAACATACAGGAACTAATTTCGGGCTATTTTACTACATTAATTATCCAAACATACAGGAACTAATTTTGGGCTATTTTACTGCATTTCAGTTTAACAGATCTACACAAAAAAAAATGAGTTGCATAGTATACAATCAGTTATTGTGTAGAGTAAGTGCATATATTATAAAGATTTTCTTAATGATTTGTTTTTATGCCTAAAATACATTTTTTAGGAATTAAAGGCCATGTAAACCTAAGAGGAAACTCTGCCACAGCGCAGCCCAGTGGTGCGTTGACTAAGCAACTTGTATTGGACATGACATGAGCATGACATTTAACTTCAAAGAAAAAAGTTAATGTTTAAAGGTGAACACGGATGCAGAACATGGGCTGAAATAGTGCCGTATGTCAGGCCTCTGTGATGAAGGTGATAATGAGTAACTTAGAAAGTTCTGTTGACATTGTTGCTCCATCAGTGGTCGTGGTAATGATCTGGTAAAGCACCAGCTCATTGCCTTTCATCTTAACTTCTCATTTACCACTTATATGGACTATATCAGCAAATGGCAGTGGAGATAGTGTTTAAACCCTGTGATTAGACACACTGTTTCCTCCTCCTGTGGGGAGGCAATATCAGTTAATTATTAAATGACTGACTTGAGACTTATTTGTTTAGGGATTTTGCAGTAAGAAGTATGGTTATTAAAAAAAAACGTTTGCTGCAATACTGCTGTTGACCACCAGTCTCTGGCTCCAAAAATTTTCTGCATTGAAGATGCCAAAGTGACAAGTCTTCCTTGCAGTTTTATTTAGCTTTCATAAATCATCAAATATTACTCTGCAGTAGAATGGATGCTTCTGCATGTCGTTAGTGAACAACTTGAAAGAAAACAGTCCCTTCTCACAGGCTCGTACAGATTCTTCAAAACACACTTGTCTTTGCGAATTCCTCCAAAGTCGTAAAATCATGGTCAAAGACTTATTTACAGATGCAACTCTGATGCAACTGGATTGAGGGGTGTTTGATTTCAGCATGTTGTCTTATTAAATTCAAGCCACTTAACCACACGGTGGCTCATTTCCAGACTGTCTGCAGCACAGATGCATCTCCAGTGTCGTGTCTGTCTGGACTGGAGAAGATTACATTCATAGTATGAAAAGTGACG